CAAATAATTTATTGTTAAACTATTGTAGTTGAAACTATTAAAAATGATATGAAATATTATTTAAGTGGATGTTATATCAGCTAATTGCCTTTCTTAYAAATATACAACATTACAAAAACTTTTTTAGGAGGGAAAGAACTGAAAAGGCTAGACTCATAGCTAAGAAATACAATTTTCACCACATAAAAAAGGAGAACTTTGACTGTGAAATATCAATTTTTATTTTTTGATATCGGAACTAAAAAGAGTTATCTAAGTTTGAAAAACATAAAAAATATAATAGATCTTGAAACAACAAGAATTTTTTTAATATTAGTGATATATAATAAATATGAATGATAATTCATAGATATTGTTCTTAATTACGTTGTACACTAGTTTGGAGTCTTAACTATCATTACAGTCTAAAAAGTTCTATCCTTTCCAATATAGACTGTGTGTGTGAGATCGAAAACCACATTGACTATAGTGGTGAAAATCTTGTACTAGTGCAGAGGAAAAAATTCAAGTTTTTTATTACGTTAGATTGGAAAATGTGTGAATAACTGTAAAATATTTTTTAACTGCCGATGAATWTGCATTTATTAAAAGTAGTCACATTTGAAAATTATTAAATAAATGAGTTAATACATATTGAAAATGTTTTTAATCATCTGCCTAATCAGTACATTTAATTATAGCTTCTRAATTTGAAACAAATTGTTTTCTTTAAAATTAGATTTTGATAATGGAAAGTTCAAACTTCAAAGTTTCTTAATTATTTCAAAAATTAAAATAAATTATGAATAATTTAATAATTAAGTATGGSTTTCAAAACATAAATTCACATTTTGAATTCTCTAATAACAAAGTTTAAAGTTGTATGAAAGCAATCATGTCTTGAATGTACAGGAGTTTAGACCTATTGAATGATTTTGTTTAATAACTGGTTTTGTTGTTAGACAGACAAGCATTTCTTTAGAACCATATAAAGTACAGCTCGAGGTAAAATGTATATTCATAATTTATATTCATGTATGACATACACATATTATGTACCTATGTATTATTTTCTAGAATAACTGTTTTCTCAAATAATAGTACAATAATTTAAAGTTTTGATTTAAATTATTAAATACTCTTGATAATATCAATATAAAGTAAAGAAATGAAAAATACATTAATATTCTTGATAAGTGCAATTTTTTGCTATTCTTGTTTTATATTTCACATATTAGAATTTTTAAGAATATTTTATCACTTTTAATAAATTATTTAATTAAACTTAATTATTAGTTATGACATTTTATTATTTATAAAATGGGCACTGGAAACGACACTATGAACACTTAGGACGCCAAGGTTTTCCATTTCCTCTAAAACAAAAATAGATAGCAATAATAGGTGTAGGTATAGGTACTATTTAATTTGAGCATTTTTTTTTCTTTGCAATGGAGGGCATAAACACATCTGATTGATTATTATGAATTTAAAATAAAAATAATTAACTTACATGATTCTATTAATTGCTTTTATCCACTTTTCTTTTGTCTCTTTTTCATAATCATGGTTTGGAAATAGATAAAATATAATATTACTAGTAGTTTTGTAAGAATTATAATTATAATTACTACACAGCAATTATTTTTAGATTTTTTAGTACCTGTACCACTAATCATAATTTAGAATAATAATAAATATAGTAATATAGTATTCGACAAGACTATTTACTATTAGTTAATAGTTTAATACTTCGTAGTAAGTAGTTAGTAGTTACTAATCGTTACAAAAAACTAATACCTAGGAAATAGCAATATTATTTATTATCTTTAGTTAGACATTATACTTTGCCACTGCACTAGTATAATTGTTGTCTCCCCAGAGCACTAGTATGATCGTTGTCTCCTCAAAGCACTAGTAGTACCACCGCACGCAGTCTTATGTTGTACATTTGCAAGACAGAAACAGCATATGCGAGTATAGCGTCAACTTAAGGATATTAAGGTAGTTAGAATGATCGTCTGATGCCATTAGGCTGGGTTGTCATAACTAAGTATACACAATGTGACCATACATTCCGCTTTCGAGATAAGTGTCCCGCTGTCCCCAAAGAATCTAAAAATGTTTTGTTTTCGGAAAAGTCAACTTGTGTTGAGTGTAAGATTTGCACATTTTAAATAATGATTTACAGTGGCGCCGAACTATTTTTTTTTTAAGTGTGGCAATGGACATTAATTTATACCCGCCCACCTACTTCAATACAGTATGAAAAATAAGCCGTGGGGGCAGAGCCCCCCACACCCCCTAAACACTACCAATTTTTTTAACTGCAAGATATTATTTTCACAAACAAATTATATTATTTATTGTATTTTTGCAATATTTAATATTTTATTATATATATTATTATTAACATAATATTATTTTAGCACTGTACTGTATGATGTAACAGCGGCGTAGCCAGGATTTTTTTCGTGGGGGGGGGGCTAATCAATTTTTTACACAGCGGTGCATTAAATACCTATTAGCACGGCCGAAGCTATAGAAAACTAACAAAATAAAAATGACAATTTAAAATTAGTAAAATACAATTTAAGACTTTTTGAGTGAATATTGTAGAAATGTAGACCATTGAAATAATTTTTAAATTTTATTAACATTTCTGGGGGGGGGACTGCAGTCCCCTCAGCCCTCCCCCTGGCTACGCCACTGTGATGTAAAAATATTAATAACTGAGTCAGAGTCAATGTCAATATCATTTTCACATGATATTAACATCAGAGAGTCCAGTCGTTCTTCTGCCATTGTAATTCTTAATTTACTTTTTATAAGCTTTAATTTTGAGAAGGCTYGTTCTGGATAATTCAAAAATATTATCTCGGATAACACCTATAGTTTAATACTAACAAGGTATCGTGTATTTGTGTATCTTATGTTAAACTCTGATAGTTTACGTAAAATACCATGAACTAGCTGTAGCTGCTGTTGTAGGTTTAGAAATTAATTAGGTATAATATTGGTAATTTATCATGATATTAAAATATAGTTATCTGCTTTTTACACTCTATGACCYTCTGTAATTTGTAATATTATTTCCACTGCTCCATCTTATCTTAATTATAAAATTGTACAATTTTTTTATACATGTACACCACCAATGCTAGAGGGTACCCACCCCCTAAATTAGGTTCGGCACCACTGATGATTTACCATCTAAAAATTGTATTGACTCACATATAAATGTTTGACTTTTTGTGCTAAAGGCAATAAAAATATCAAGATTTTTATAAAACGTTTTTTTAAAAATATTTAAAAATACTAAAAGAGATAAGCGACTGCTGTAGTAAGAGAAGCGTACTCAACAAAAATTACTATTATAAGATTTGGACTATTTCAAAAAAACTGAACACATAAACAAATTAAGGTTTCACTAAAATTTTCAGTTTATACAAACACATCACTTATGTATAACAAAAATTAAAAAATATTCTTATTTCATATATAGGATAGGCAGTTACGGAAAGCTCGACCCTATCAATGTCTCACGTCTCTATTCAATCACTTATAACCCATTGCGTAATATGAGTAGAAATCTTATACATAAAACTATTTTTTTTTTACAATGGAACATTCTTTCAAATTAAGAAAATCTATTTTTTTGTTTTTTTATGCTTCTTTACTGGTAATCTGCCACCTGTAAAAATTGAAAATAGAAAAATTACAATTAATTAACTTTTAGTCATTTTTAGCTCGATTGCTTTATAAAAAAAGTTAAAAATGTCAAAAAAAAACAAAATATAATTTAGTTATATGTTTAGACTTGTATGTTATTGAATGAAACACATTTAAAACAATAATTTTATTTTCAAATTATTCTTTAATTTAGATATCAGATTCTTTTGAATTTTATATGTTTCATTTTGCGATATATGGGTTAAAGTTGACCTCTGATGATATTTCTAATGGCAATAATGATTCTAATCAAGTATCAGTGTACAAGTTGTTGTGCTTAGATTATCTTAATTTTTTTTTGCCATTAGATAATTCAGCTTCTTTGATTTTACCTCAAATTCAGTTTAATGTTCTATCACCAATTCCTAATCAAAAACAAAATACTACTACAAGGTATGTTTAGAACATCATAATATATGAAAGCAAATTTATTTATATTTATTTTTATATTGTTTTAAATTAACCAAACTAAATAATATTAGTTAATTGTGTGTTTTTATTTTAGTAAATTTTTGAACTTCATAAAAAAGGATGTTGCCGCTAATGATTTATTAAGTGATAACATTTTAAGTTCATATTGGATGTTGACATCAGAAGCAACGTGGCGTAGTGAAGTAGTAGCATTTTTTTTTGCTGATATTTGGTTAAATTGTAACGTATTAACTAATGTAAGTACATCATATTTGCTGCTTTTTTGTGGTTTATACAATTTACAATACTCAAAACTTGCATAACACATCGGTGGTTGTGATTTTAATGCCGTGACCACACTTCAACGCATTTAAACACCGCTCACTAACATATTTTCTAACAGAGAACCACAACTATTTTTCTTTATTTAGTTATTATTATAATAGTCATTATTTAATACATAAAAAGCTACAAAATATYAATGGATGTTGTGATTATTTCTTCAAAATACCAATTACATATGGTTATTCACACTATCTAACTGTTAATTTTATAATACATATTTATTCTTAAATCAAACATATACAGACATATTTTTTGGTAAGTTTTTAACCCGGATTTTCTTTGTTTCAGATAACCTAAAGCCCCAATTAGTCCATATTAATAAGTTCTATTCAATTTTGACCTTTGATCTAATATCTTATTAACATTTT